GTGTGTGTGTGTGGGGGGGGATCACACCTTTAATTTCCGCCTTCAGGAGGCAAAGGCACGTGAATCTCTGTGAATTTGAGGCCAACCCGGTCTATATACAACGAGTTCCAGCCAACCAGGATTACCTAGTGAGAACCTGTCTCAAAAGAAACAAACAAAAACCCCCAAGAGTTAATAAGGACAAAATTAGCCTCCATCCCTCCCTGGCTCCTCATTTTTCTCTCTTCCAGAAATGTCTCTATGTACAAGCACATCCCAGCTCCTTCTTTCACAGAGAATAGCATATCGTACAGATTGTTCTGTAGCTGGTGGTTTCCCTCTTAATATATCTTATAGACCTTGCTATTTTTGTAGTTGCCTAGGACCCTTTTATGACACTGATGATCTCTCTAACATGTTCCAGATTAGATCTCTGTTCCCACCCCAAGGCCTGCTGCAATGATTGTTCTTGGACTCGTATTTCTGTGCATAGATGTTCATCCATTCGCGACACAGCTTCTTAGAGCTGGCTCCAAAGCATCCTTAGCTTGTCCCCAGCTTTGGGGTTCTCAAATGGTGTCTTGAAAGAAGTCTGATAATCTTGACTAAGAGCCTCCTTTAAGAACCACTGGGAGGGCCAGGCAGTGGTGGCACAGGCCTTTAATCCCAACCTTCGGGAGACAGAGGCAGGAAGATCTCTGTGAGTTCGGGGCCAGCCTGGTCTACAAGAGCTAGTTTCAGGACAGGCTCCAAAGCTACAGAGAAACTCTGTCTTGACAAACAAACAGACAACCAAAGAACCACTGGGAGGATCAAAGGTTCGTTCAAGGCCAACCTGGGCTACAGAGTTACTTCAAGGCCAGCCTGGGCAACTTAGACTCTGTCTCAAACAAACAAAGAGCACTGGGAGCATTGCTCAGTGGGAACCCGGGTTCAACCCTTAATATAGAAAAAAAGGGTGAGGGGAGGTGGGTGGGAAGAAAGGGAGCTTTGACCCTTTAGTTGAGTGTCAGGACTGTAAGTACAGTCCTGTTAGCCCGAGCCCTATGCTAGGCTTCCTTCTCCATCATCTCTGTAGCCTCAGGCTGCTGCAGATAGACCCTGAGCCCAGGTCCCTCAGTCTTTGACTTGGAGATTGCCTTTAGGAGCGTGACTTTGGTGTGTGCAGCCTGGATCAGTCCTTACCCTTTCCTTCCCTTTGCTGTACTTTGCCTGGTGGCCTTGGCCTGGACGCCTTACCCCTAACCTGCGCCCTCCTCTGTGTTCTGACCTGGAGTCGCAGCACAGGCTTTTGTCTCTTGTTATCCAGCTCCCCCGTTCTGTCTGGCTTCTCCCACGCCCACTGCCCCGCTCTAGCCACTTGAGCTCAGTCTGGCCTAGGACTTAAAGAGCAGATCTCTGGGCCTTTGGAGTCACACTGACTTACGACTTTGCTCCTCTGGCCTTCCGTGTCCTCAGCTGTAAGACAGAGGTAATAATACCGCTGCCCTCCTACGCTGACAGAGCTGTCACATAGCAAGCCCACAAGAAATGCTAGCAGCCGCCGCTATTATTAGTGTTATCTCACATTCCCATCCCCGCTTCCACAATTTTGGATTTGGAGAAGCTGCTTGGGCGGGAGAAAAGCTCCAGCTCCCTCTGTCCTGTGTGTCCCTCAGTTTTGGTTGGTCAGAGAATACCTGGTCTTGTGAGAAGAATGGCTGTCTATGGTCTTTCGAAAACTCCCCCCAAACTCAGAGACTAAGACTTTTAGAGATTCTGTGTGTTGCTTGGTGGCTCTCCTCTTGTTTCCTGGGGACTCACTGGCTACATACATCCGGTAGCTAAGAGGTATAGAAAGCCCAGAATGTCCATGGGTGCTCCTTTTGGCTTCCAGGCCCTAGTTCACCTGTCCTCCTCCGGACTAGTCTCAGAACTGCTCTGAAGGCCGAGGCTCCAGAATTCGGCTGACTTGATTTCTACCTCATCCTGTCAAGACAAGTCACAAAGCCAGCTACCACAAGCAGTGGGGGAGTGACCTACGCCTGCTGTTGGAAGAGGCAGAAGGGTAGAATAGCCGATTCTGCCACCTGCCCTCTCTGAATTCCAGTACAGGTGCACAAAAAAGAAGCAGAGGCTTTCATTCCAGTTATTTGGGAGACTGAGGTAGAAGAATCACGGCTCCTCTGGTCTTCAGTATGACTTCAAGATCTGCCTGGGCAAGTTAACAAGGCCCTGTTTTAAGTTGGAAACTTAAAAAGAGGGTTGACTATGGCTCATCAGTAGAGCCCCTGCCTAGAATCCCCCAGTGAGGGGCTGGGGTGTGACTCAGTGGTAGAGCCCCTTCCTAGAATCCCCCAGTGAGGGGCTGGGGTGTGACTCAGTGGTAGAGCCCCTGCCTAGAATCCCCCAGTGAGGAGTTGAGGTGTGACTCAGTGGTAGAGCCCCTGCCTAGAATCCCCCAGTGAGGAGTTGAGGTATGACTCAGTGGTAGAGTGCCTGCTTAGCATGCCAAGGCCCTAGATTCAATCCCCAGCTTTGCAAAAAAAAAAAAAAAAATTCTAACAATACTCACTTTGTTATAGACTTCTGTGAAGATTTAAAGCCAAATAATCTGGGACCAGTGAGAGTGATCAGCAGCCAAAGGCGCTTGCTGAAAAGCCCAAGAACCCAAGTTTGATCCCTGGAACCCACATGAAGGTGGAAGGAGAGAACAGACTCCACAGAGTTGTCCTCTGACCTATACATGTGTGCTATGCGTGCATGCCTTTCTCCATTGTGTACACACACACACGTCCTTTAACTCATGGAGATCTGCTTGCCTCTGCCTCCTCCCCAGTGACGGGATTAGAGGTGTGTGCCACTACTGCCTGGCTAATGATAAATCATCTTTTCAAGTCAAGTAATCTAAAGATTACACACAGGACAGGGAAGGAGGGAGGGGTCTATCTCATAGTAAACATCGTGGATATTATTACCAAAGAGTTCTCTCCTGGGTATTTTCTGAGTCCTAAATTCTTTTGTGTAAAGGGACACTGTCCTGCCCCTCATTTAGACTATCACTGCCTAGGTAAGTTACATTTTTTTTGCAATGGCCTCCAGATGCTCTTGCTCTGCTGGTACCTTGGACGGCTCTCTGCCTCCTTTTTTCTTTGTAATGCTGAGATCAGTAAAGTCTACTTGTGACCCTCAAAAGTAACCTTCAGTGTAACCACTGACGCTGACACATACACCTATAACCCTAGAATTCAGAAAACTGAGACAGGAGAATTGTGAGTTTGAGGGCATCGTCTTCAATCCCAGTTCAGGTGACAGGCAGGAGGATCTCTGTGGGTTTTGGGGCTAGCCTGGTCTACATACCGAGACCTCATCTCTAAAACAAAGCCAAGAGCACTGGCTATTCTTGCAGGAACCTGAGTTTGGTTGTCAGCACCCACGTGGTATCTTACAATCGTTCATAACTTCAGTTCTAGGGGATCCAATGCCCTCTTCTGACTTTTTTGGGCTCCAGGCAAGTACATGGTACACAGATGTACAGGCAGGCAAAACACTCATATGCATAAAATTTTAAAATCTCAAAACAACACCTACAAAAGACCATCCACACAGCAAAAAGCCAGAGATTGCAAACTGGCAGGTGTGTTCATGTGGCCTAAAAAAAAAGGTATTAGAATTTGAATGAGTCGCTGACATTCATAATCAGGGGATTTTACAGAACAATCCAGGCTTCCAAATTCTCTTGCAGTTTTACCATCTGGCGTGTCATGCCTGCCTGCCTCGTGGCAGCTCGGGCTAGAGCAAAATCCTGGTGAGGGATACTCTCATGGGCCACATTGGTGGCTCGTAAAGTTGGTTTAGCGAGTCACTGCTGGCTGTGCGGTGGGGGCCGGGGATGAAGAACTCAAAATTGAAATTACCCATGTATGCGGCGACAGAGAGCAATGCTGTCTGGTGGAACCAGACAGGGTCGTGTGTGTACTTGTCCATGTAAAATGGATGAGTTGAGTAAGGTGTGTCGGAAGAGAATCTTGAAAGCTCCATTCTAATTTGATGCCAGCCCATTCTGAGTCCCTCCAGCGTCCCCCCTTTCTCGTAGGTGTTTTGGTTGGAGTCTCATAAGGGGCTGCAGAGCCCACGGATGCATCCCCAAGCCCCTCGGCTTTCAGGCCCTCTCTCCACTCACAGCATGTATTTTATTCTATTTCGTTTGATTTTTCGAGACAGGGTTTCTCTGTGTGGCTTCGGAGCCTGTCCTATAACTCACTCTGTAGACCAGGCTGGTTTCGAACTCAGAGATCCGCCTGCCTCTGCATCCCGACTGCTGGGGTTAAGGGTGTGCACCACCACCGCCCAGCCACTCACAGCGTTTCCAAATGAAGTATATGTGCCTTAGCCAGGTGTGGTCGCACACACTTGGGCAGAGGCAGGAGGATCAGAAGTTCAAGGCTGCTCTTGTCTATACATTGGGATTAGAGATAGCCTGGACGACGTTAGAGGAAGTCTCAAAAAACCAGCACACAGGGCTTGGGAGACAGCTCAGCCTGGCTCATCCTAATGCCTGGGAGGCAAAATCAGGCAGATCCCGGGGGCTTGCAAGCTACTCTGCCCACCTTACTCTACCTATTCTGGGCCAAGCATAGACACTGTCTCAAGAAAAAAAAAACAAACAAAAAAGGCAGATGGGAAGGCTGGAGAGGTGACTCCGCAGTTCCCAGTACTACATGGTAGCTCTCAGCCATCTGAGTTCCAAGGCATCCGATACTCTCTCGCCTTTGCTGGCTGCAGGCATGTACATGGTACACAGACACACATGCAGGCCAAAATCATACATACAAAATAAAATTAAAAAAAGAAAGATCAAGGCTCCTGAGGAGTGACATCTGGGGTTGTCCTCCAGCCTCCCCACATGTGACCACACAACAAACAGAAACAGCAGACATGCAGGGGTTCTGTCATCCACAGCTCTGGTCCTGGGCCCCAGGATCCCTGACTCAGCCCCCAAGTTCTCAGTCTCTGACCTCTGCTCTCTCTTGCCCACCCAGGAGAACCCGTATGTCATGCGCAGGCCTAACTTCCAGGCCTTGTCTGGGAACGAGCGCTTCGAGGGCTTCTGCGTGGACATGCTTCGGGAGCTGGCAGAGCTACTGCGCTTCCGGTATCGCCTGCGGTTGGTAGAGGACGGACTATACGGGGCACCTGAGCCAAATGGCTCCTGGACAGGCATGGTTGGCGAGCTCATCAACCGGGTATGGCTGGCAGGGGGCTGGGAACGGAGGAAGGGAAGGTGGGGCCAGATCAGCACAAAGCAAAAGAAACAGGCAGAAGGTTGATGGTGCGCTAAGTTACCTTTGCCCTGGGTGCCTCGGGGCCAGGTAGGAAAAGCACAGCATTGTGTCAGTCACCTCCTGTGTTTTTGCCAGATGTTCCTCTTATGTTCAGAGGTTTGATGAGTGAATAACTGTGACATGGAGTAGGAATCTGGTAGCCTGAAGTCATCAAGGGGTGCGTCCTCTAGGAGGCAAGACCAAAAGCGGGGACTGCTCTCTGCCCGGTTCCATCGGGAAGGCCTGGCTCACTTCAGGCCCCAAGAGTTGTCTTCTGGGGCTGAACGTGTGGCTCAGTTGGTAGAGGGCATGTATAGCATGCTGGAGACCCCAGACTCAATCCATGTAAACCAGGCGTGGTGGTGCAGGCCTGTAATCCTGGCACTGGAGAGGTGGAGGCAGGAGGATTCAAGGTCGTTCTACATTCGTTTGCAAGTTTGAGGCCAGCTGGGGTTATGTCACCTGAGACCTTGTTGCAGAACCAACTAAACAAAAGTCCAGAGCTGTCCGTCGGCTCAACCTTTCCTCAGTAGGTGTGTGTGGAACACCAGCTCTGTGTCCTGCTCTGTGTCGGATTCAGTGAGCAGACGCTTTGCCCCCAAGAACTTATGAGTCTCGTTAGGGTCCAGGAGCAAGTTACCACCATGGTTTCTGATTTAGAAAATTCATAGGAGAGACCTAGAGCAGACCCCTGACTCTAACTCTGCACTCAGGGCTTCCCCAAAGAGATGCTGCTGCCTGAAGTGATGGACCGGCAGGGCAGGGGGTGGGGGCATCAACAGGAAATCAGGTCCTGAGACACACACCTGTTCCCTGATCACAGGGCAGGCTGTGGGGGAAGATCAGAGGTTTAAGCTAACCCAGGCTGCAGGGCGAGACTCTCACGGTGGCATACACCTGTAATCATAGCAGACAAGGGTCCAAGGCAGGAGGATTACCAACACCAATCTCGTGGTGATTTCCAGACCAGCCAAGGCTACATAATAAGACCCTGTCTCAAAAAACCCAACCAATCCCCCTCAAAGAAAAGGAAAGGATGGGGCTGGAGAGATGATTCAGCAGGTAAGAACACTGGCTACTCTTCCAGAGGACCCGGGTTCAGTTCCCAGCACTCACATGGTAGCTCACACCTGTCTGTCACTCCACTTCTAAGGGATCTGATGCCCTCACACAGGCACATGTGCAGCCAAAATACCAAATGCACTTAAAGTAAATAAATCTTTGAACAAAGGAAAGGCGTGAAGAAGTCGGGAGGTGAGGAAATGCTGAGAAGCAGAGGGAACATGGTTTGTAGAGGGGGAGCCCTCTGAGAGTGCAGCTCTGAGTGAGCCAGCTGGGCCTGCCTGTGCGTGGGAAGTGCTTCATGAAGGTAAGGAGGGAGAGAGGCAGGAGTGAGAGGTGGGAGGCAAGGGCACAGTGGAGAGAATATTCTGGAGTCTGACCAACCTGGACTGGAGTCCTTAGATGGATCTTTTCCCAACTCCAAGCTCCATTTTCCCCTTTCATAAGATGGGGGTAATACCCGACAGGCCTGTAGTGAGGATCTCAGGCCTCATGCAAACTCGTTGCATGCTGCCTGTCGGACAGCGGGACTGTGGAGTTTTCTCTCCCCATTTCTCGTGTGTGTGTTCAGTGGATGTGTGTTTCTAGATGTGTGTGCATATGTGAGTATGCATGCAGAAGCCTCAGTAGCTCAAGCTGATCTTTTTTATTTTATTTTACTTTTTTTCTGAGACAGGTTCTCTGTATAGCCCTGACTATCCTGGAACTCGCTCTGTAGACCAGGCTGGCCTTAAACCCACAGAGACTTGCCTGCCTCTGCCTCTCAAATGCTGGGTTAAAGGCGTGCGCCACTACACCCCACTTCAGGCTGCCCTTTAATTCAGTTTGTAGCTGAAGATAACCTTGATCATTTGCCTCTGCCTCCCAAGTGCCAGCATTCTCTGGCCCAGCTTATGGGAGATGCTGGGGATTGAACCCAGGACTTCATGCATGGTACGCAAACACTCTACCAACTGAGCCACAACCCTGACTCCTTATAGGTTTTATTTTTTTATTCCAGAGAAAACCAGGTTGGCGAATGGAGAGAGGAAAGGCTATGCAAAAGAGGCATGTGGCTCGCCACACAGCAGCTGGTGGGCAGAGCAGGGAACGGCAGTGAGATCAGCCTTGACATTGGACTCGGCTAGGTTCACCCTCCTGTCCCTCCCGAGAGAGAGAACTCACTACTTTGGAGCCCCTGAATGCCATACAGATTGACACAAGCAGGGTGTTTTGTTAGACAAGGACATTTATCCCTCGGGGCATTGATTTTCTAAAGTTATTTGAACAGCAGAACCTTTCCTCCCATTGAAAGTGTCTTCAGAAGCCCAGACAAAAGCAGAGCTGCTCTGGGGAGGCAGAAGTGGGGGCCAGAGTCCTGGCTGCTTGGTCTCCCCGCTCCAGCCTGCAGGCGAGCCCCAAGGCACGGTCCCCTGAAGCTGCTGGCTGGTTTGAAGTCTTCTGCCCCCAGAGTGGGTGCTAAGACCTGAGTCCCAGAAAAGGGGGCCTGAGCAGAGGGGAGAAGGTCCAAAGCCAGTGTTCCTGTACCCACCCCAGGTTCAGATCTGCCTGGTATCTGTATCCACAGCCTGCGTCTCTTTTTGAGAAAAGATGGTGTGTGTATGTGTGCAAGCACCTGTGTTTGTGTGGGGGCCGGAAATCGCCTCATAGGAGTTGGTTGTCTCTTTCCACTACGCGGGCTCTGGGCTCTTAAGCTTTACCCACTGAGAGCCAGGAACAGGCAGCCTTCAGAGGAGCAGCTTCTTTAGCTGGCCTCAATACACCAGAAGCTAGCTGTCAGCTAAGGTCTGTCTGACCTCAGGCAGACCTTCCCTCACCTTGGTGGCTCTGGCCTCACCAGATGAACACAAGGATTTGGTGTCTGGGGCCACTGTACCTGGTTACGGCACAGCCAGACCCTTTCAGATCTTGCTTCTGCTGTGTACTGCCTGGGTGACCTTTGACGGGTTATCTTCATGTAAAATTGGAGAATGGTTCCCGGCCCCGTAGCATGACTGTGAGCAACAAACGGATAATTTGTTGAAAAGACTTGTACAAGGCTGGTAGGCAGAGGTGCCACCTGCCTGTGACCTGTTCTGTTATTGTCCTTACTCCTGTCAGCACGGTCAGTTCGTGCATGCAGTCACCCGTTTGCCATCCAGCTGGTATTATTAAGCACCTACTATGTACCAGGCTCTCTGCTTTGCCTGGCCTTGTCCTTAGTGGGCAGGTCAAAGATTGTGAACCGCTGCAGATCAAGCTGGTTCAAGTGTGAAAGAGGATAGGCCGACCTGAGGGCCGAAGTAAAGATTGCAGAGGGTGTGGTGGACCAGGGGTTGGTGTGAAGTAGACACTAGGGGAGGAAGGGCTTGGTGAGCGCAGACCCGTTGACTCCTAGGAAGAAAGTACCGGGGAGAATGCTGTAGCATCTCCCTGTGTTTGCTGGGGCAGCTGTGGACATTACAGAGAGAACAGTGGAGGAGAAGAGGCTGGGAGCACACAGAGGCTGAGACTGGGTCCTGCTGAGTTTGTGCCGCCTACTGTGGCGTGGCCAGGCTTGCAGAACCACGTGGGAGTCCATTCCACATCACCCAGCAGCAGTAGCTGCCCCTGGCTGACTTCACACATGTGCTGGCAGCTATCCAGTCGCTGCTTAACTCCAGAGCAGCACTGCCCTCTTGCCAGCTAGAGGCCTGGGGCTCCACAGCGTGGAGTGCGTCTCAGTTTCCAGGGCTGCAGCTGGGTCTGTCTGTCCCTAAAGCTACACCCTTTGCAGACCTCCCAGCAGATTAGTTGGGAAGACCGGAGCAACCGGATCAGCGTTTGCTGTGGCCGATCAAATGTTCCTTCAGGACTTTGTCCAGGCTTCCCATCCACATAGCCTCACAATGAGGGAAGGATTAGTATTTGCTTCAGAAACAGAGAGGCCACGGGGTTAGTGACTGGGTGAGCTGGTCCCAAGCTGGAGAATGACTTCCAGACGGAAGGCAGCCCAACGCACTGGCACCTCCAGCCTGCATCCAGGGATCCTCAGAATCTGGTCCATTTATCACACCCTGTGGCCATTGCTGGGGACTGTCGTTCCTTCTGTGCTTGGAATTCAGGCTCTGACCCTCTTTTCTTTCTTAAAGATTTATTTGTTTTGTTTTATATATAATATTTACCAGCATGTATAGTGCCCATGGAGGTCCGAAAAAGGCATGAGATGTCTCCTGTACTGGAGTTTCAGATGGTTGTAAGCTGCCATGTGGGTGCTGGAAACCAAATCTGGGTCCTCTGCAAGGACCTTTTATTTCCCTCCCTAACTTCCTCCCTTCCTCCTTCCTTAACAAAATCTCCTGTATCCCAGGATGGCCTGGAACTCCCCTAGCTATTCCCTTGGGGAGTCAAACCCAGGAGCTCACGCATGCTAGACAAGCTCTCTGCCAACTGAATGGCATCCCTAGCCCCAGCCCTGCTAATCTCCTCACTAGCTAATTTCCACACCGGTTTGTTCAGTCTCTCCAGTGCAGGTCTGACCTTCTGCTGTTCGCTTCGGCCAAAGCCACAGGGCTTCAAGATAAGGCTTTCCTGGTGCTGAGAAGTAGACCAGGCGTCCTAGGCCAGCCTTGGGAGGCAGAGGGCTTAGAATGAGGGAGCTAGGAACCAAGCTCAGTTCCTAGTTTCTAGCTCAGTTCTTAGCTTAGTTTCCTTACATTTGTACCTGATCCTCATCCCAAGGGAAATTCTAGAGCTGGGCTGGGTGAGGACATCCACCCTGCAGCCTGCCTCGAGGCCTTTGTACTTCTGATCTGACGGATGCACCTTCAGCTGTGATCTGCCCTTAGGGAACATCAGGACCTTGGTCAAGGAGATGTCTTCCATTGGTAGAACTGTGTGTT